CTAAAATGTGATGCTATTTCCGACATTTTTATACCCTCCACCATTCTATGGAGGGTATATTAACTTTGTCATTCCGTTTGTAACTCCTCGAAATATTCATAATAGACCCTACAAAGTAAAATTCTAAGACGATCTAGCGATGTCTGTCTGTCTGTCCGTCTGTATGTTGTAATCACGCTATCTTTCGAACAAATTGAGATAGAAGGCTAAAATTTTGCATACATGCATAGTTTTCCAGTTGGCAGGTTAAGTTCGTAAATAGGCCATGTCGGTCCACATCCACGTATAGCCCCCATATAACGATACCTCCCGATATTCGGTATTTTCATTATTCGCCGAAATCGTTTCAAATTTCGTATTTGAAATTCGTAATGGGTACTACATCATATGACAAAAAATTTCGTATACAGGCCCACGTCTTCGTATAGCCCCTATATAACAGTATCTCCCGATATTCGATATTTTCATAATTTTAGCGACATTATTCACCGGAATCGTTTCAAATTTCGTATTTGAAGTTCGTAGTATCTACTACAACCTATAACAACAATTTTTTATGCAGATCCACGTCCCCAAAAACGGCGCCTCCCGATATTCGGTATTTTCATGACTTTTAGCGACATTATTCACCAGAATTATTTCAAATTTCGGATTTGAAATTCGTAATGGGTACTACGACCTATGACAAAAAAAATTGTATGCAGGTCTACATCTTCGTATAGCCCATATTCCAATATTTATATTTCATTCATATTTCATTATTTTCTCAGTATCTAAGGTAAGGTATTTTCATGATTTTAGCGAAATTATTTATCGGAATCTTTTCAAATTTCGTATTTGAAGTTCGCAATGTGTACGGTTGCCTATGACAAAAAATGTAGTATGCAGGTCCACATCTTCGTATAGCCCCTATATCACAGTACTTCCCGATATTAGGTATTTTCATGATTTTAGGGAAATTATTTATCGGATTTTTTTTCAAATTTCGTATTTGAAATTTGTAATGGGTACTACGACCTATGGCAAAAAAATTCTTATACAGGTCCACATCTTCGTATAGCCCCCATAAAACAGTACCCCCGGATATTCGGTATTTTCATGATTTAAGCGATATTATTCATCGGGACTGTTTCACATTTCGTATTTAAATTTCTTTAATGTAACCTATGAAAAAACAGATCTACGTCTTTGTATAGTCTCCATATAACGGTTCTCATTTAAGTTTTAGCTGTCGGATTTTTTGAAATTGTTTCTTCCAAATGGTGGAGGGTATTAAAAGTTCGGCACGGCCTAACTTAGCTTCTTATTTACTTGTTGAATTTCAATATTATGGTCTAAAAAACATTGGTCTTACTTACCTCCCTCCCTTAAACCCCGTAAGCAAATACAACAAATTTCAATTACTCTTCTGAGCCTTTAAAAGAATTTTCAAAGAAAAAACTTTTACTTTTGTGAAAAATCAAAATAGTTTTCTTTTCGTAAATTATCACACACTCAGTGACCGGACAGCTATTGAGATTTAGAATTAGATTTCCAGCAACGATAACGGTGCGATGATGATGATGATGTGATGTGATATTTTTAAAATATGATGTGAACTTAAACGTGTAACTAGCATCATAACCACAAACAGCCTGCCGGCCAGTCAGCAAAACACGGACATGACTCATAGCATGGCAAGAAATGAATTATAAATATTATATGGCGTCTAAATTAGTCCATGCCCACATACATATGTACATACATACACATCAAACAATTGACCACATAAATTATTACAAACAGCAGCAGCAGCAAAAAAATGTAATTTACATCAACAAATATATAAACTATTTAAATTAATAATGTGTTTATTTATGTACTTAGATGTGTGCAGATAGTTATTTGATGTGTCTTTAATCTCTTGAAGATGGATTAGAAAAAAAAGAAGAACATTGTCGTCATTAAGATGGATTATAAAAGCATTTCATTCATATAACAATAGAATTAAGCAATGTGTAGAAAAAGAGGATTAGAGGGAAAATAAATATTTTGATTTACCCGCAAACATATGTGCATACATTTATGCACTAAAATATGAGTGATTTGAAATATTTAAAGTGATAAATAAATGCATATAGGCATCTTATTTTCCCCAACAATTTAAAATAATATGGAAATTAGCAGGATTTGCAAGAATTAAAGGGGCATATCTAAATGTTTTGCAGATGCATTTGGAAAAATATTAGGAGAGGATCTAATGCGTAAAAAAAAACAAAATTTTTTTGGGGCATGATTATATAAAATGGTTGTTTAAATTCAATAATTGAAATTATAAATCAAAAGTAGAATTTAAACTTGATTCGAATCAGTTGACCATTTCAGTACCATATAGCGCATTCCCAACAGACGTGGACCATTTTGGGCGATAATTATTGAAAGTTGCCACTTTTGATTATTTATTGTGTGTTTAAAATCATGTTTACATGGAATATTGAAAATTTACAATGCACAGTGAATCAAAAGCAAGGCGATATTTTATGCAACAGTTTACATGTTAGACTACCCACAATTTAAATTCTACTCAGATGTGATTAGGGTCCGTAGAATTTTTGGCAAAAACTAAAAATAGGCATGAATAAACGCCTCAATTGAGAGACTATAACATAGCCCCAAAAAAACTATTCTTACGATTTGGGCGGTCAATTGGTCGTTGGCAAAATGTTCTCAAAACTCTTCTCTCAATAAGAACATTATTACAACGACTTGTTGAAATGCAGAGTGAGATAAAAAAACTGCAACAAAGTCAAACGCCATAATTTTTACATTTTTTTTTTTAATTTTTTTGAATGAAATCAAAAAATGTCGGAAATAGCATCAAATTTTAGATTAAGTACAGATTTGTTCGAATTGGTCACCTTTGGCACGAATTATGGCCTTCAAACGGCCAATGAAACCGTCACACGCTGCCCGAGTATTGCTCTACGGTATTTTGGCCCATTCACGGCGAAGCGCTTGCTTGAGGTGATCGACACTTTGGTATTTTTTAGTGTCAAGCTTGCTTTCCAAAATACTCCAGAAACAATAGTCCAACGGATTGGTATCCGGAGGTTTTAGTGTCCATTGTTGGAAATGAAGCGAGGAACCTTATTGAGTGCGATGGTGCTGAGTCCTGTTGGAACGTTCAGGATCTGTGGCCAAAATGTTTGCGTGCCCAAGGCTTTAATACACCCTCCAGAATATTTTCGCGATAATATTCCGTATTTTTTCTGATGCCGCTGTCGACCATCGGCTGTTATGGCGGCCCACACCATCAACATGGCCGGCGCTTGAGTTCTGGTGGCCAACCGAAAGTGCACATTTTCACTGACCTCCTTGGCAAGTAAACACGATCATTTTGTTGGCTTAACCCCGAGCTCATTTTTCAATATTTGCCGAAGAGAATATTGCGATATGTTCAGATCACGAGCCATTTTTCGGTCACTGCGACACGAGTTTCGATCAAGTCGCTTCTTCTTTTCGAACCATTTCTGCTGATGTTGATTTTGAATATCCACGAAGCTCATAAAACACGAAATAAATATCCGATTCCATTTAGACTTGGCACTTCTGAGTATTTCTATCAACAAAGGATCTTTTATAATGGCAGTAGAGATCGGACCATTCCTTCTGATACCTCCCCCACAAAGGGTCAAAGTTTTGAATAACCAAAACGTTTATAAAAGCCGAAATAAGCATCAGGTTCACATCCCATTATTTCTACTAACACAAGATCTGTTGTGAAGATGGGATATATCGGTCCTCTCCTTCTGGTACCTCCCACACAAAGGGTCAAAATTTTGAGCATCGATGAAGCTTAAAAAGCACGAAATTATTGTCCGATTCCATTCAGACATGGTACATCTCAATATTTCTATCAACACAAGAAGTGTTATAAAGGTAAAAGAGATGGGACCATTTCTTCTGATACCTCCATACATCGGGTTCAAGATTAGGTATAAAATTGGATAAAACGTTCGTTTTTCTTGTAATTTTGGCCATACCAATATTTTTATCTGTATTTGATGAATTATAAAATAGAATACTTCCGTCGACTATATCTATATCATATAAAGTGAAGGAACTAGTTAATGTAGTCCAATCCTGGCACGTCGCAATATTTATATCACATTTATGTAGGCCCCTACGAAATGTATAATATTGGCCCATTCCTTCGGAACCTTCGGAAGGGTCAACAATTTGAATAATCATAAAAGAAATCAAAATATATTTAAGTAATCTAACATCGACCGATACTTTTTAACTTGTTTACCGAATTTCGTTATTGAACATTATATAGTTTATATAGTCGGATTTTTCGATCCAAATTTTTAATAGAACTCCTAAAGGAGTTGAAGGCTAATATCCTTCAGAATTTATTGATATTGTTCGTGTAACCATTGTGCAGTATATTTTTTTCAATACGTCTGTCTGGCACCCACTGATATTTTTACTGGATGTTATGTGTTAACACAAAAGTTCTGGTAAAAAGAGCGATTTCTGCATTTCTTTAGCTGAGAGTTGGGAAATTCCCGCCGTAAATTTTTTTTCTTGCAAACTGATTTTTTTAAGCCACTATTACACATTTACGGACTTTAAAATTGAAATCGATTTCTCTCTAAAAACAACAGATTGACATTCAAGTATTTGTTTTTATTTGATTAATGTAACTTGCTAACATTGCTAAAAACAATCATAATGTACTGCTGTTTAAAAAAAAAGTTAACAAAAACAATGAAACATCGAGAGAAATGCAATTCTCCCTTAAATTGGCATTTTCTAATTTATTCAACAATCTATTATAGACAGTACAATAATATGTACAGTACAGTACAGCATCAATATCATAATCATTTGTAATTTTTGTCATTGTCGATAAATAAAAAGAATAAATCAGCGAATTGATGATAATGACCGCAACCGAATAAAAAACTACAAAGAACACAACAAAATAAGAAAAACTACACGCTAATGACACTTACCGACACCGTATTTATTATTCGATGGAGTCCACATTGTGCTCCCCTTTGAATTTCTGCACTCTTTGTTTTGTTGTGTTGTTTTGTCTGAACTCTCACTCTCGGCCACTTGCGATTTGTGTGACTCTTTCTCACTCAATAACCTCTTTTGTTTGTCGTGGCTCTGTTTGATCAGTTAAAAATGTGCGTTGTTTTTGTTTCAAGTTGTGCTCATGTGGGGGGAAGCTGGATGCTGCTGCTACAATGGGAAGCAGCATTCGCACAGCAGCGGCAGCGACAAAGCAGAGACAACAATAATTTATTGTTATTAATTTCTTCTATTGCAAAAGCAATTATAAATTTTGTTGGTATTTATAATTTATTTAATGGAAGTAAGTTTATTAAATTCCATTTAAGCATGTAGGTAGTAGGTAATACTTCAATTCACATTCTCAGAACTTTTTGTTGTAACATTTGCACACTTTGTTTTCATTTGTATTCGCTTGCAAATTGCAATGGCATTGGAAACGAGGCAAACTTGAACTTTATTTGTGAACTATTTTACTCTTTTTTTTTTGTTATTTATTTTTTGTTGATTTCTTCTATAAAAATCGCCTGCTTTGGCAAAAGAACCACATTCATGTTGTTGTTGTATTTTTACTCTTGCTTTGGGGGGTTGTGGTGGTGGCCGCCTTTTTTTGTTGTATTGTGGATTATGGTGGTGCGTTTTTTCCCACAATTTTGCACTTTTACTTTTTTCCCTTTCCTTGCTGCTACACCTAACTCACGGCGCAACACTCACCACAGAAGCACAAACACTCACGTACGCACACCTTTATTACTACGCCTATTTTCGTCGAGCAGGATTCTTTTTTTTTTCAACTTGAATATAATTTTTTCTTGGTGTGGCTTAAAACAAAATGAAAAAGTGCAGACTTAACAAAAGTAATAAAAACAAATTGCACGTTTTCGTTGTTGTTATTTCTTTTTTCACACACGCGCGTGTTATGTTTTACATTTTTCCACTTATTTTGTTATTAAATTTAGCAATTTTTTTTTGTAATTTTCTTTGCATAATTTACAAAAATTTTGCACACAGACACTTTTCCATTGGATTTTTCACAACCGCTTTTATCGTTTGTCGGATGACAACTACAACTGCGCGTTTGAAAATCGATAAAAATTTGCCTGCTCTAGGTTGTGTCGGCCAGGCGGCTGGCTGGCTCTCTTCCCAATTGGAGGATATTTCTTCAACACATGTACACATTGACTGTCATGCTACTTCCTCTTTTTGTTGTTTTCTTTTTTGGGTTGTCAAATTTGTTGGTGTTTTCTCCCGATTCTTTTGCTTTGCTTCGTTTTATCTTTTTCTACAAAACAACAACAACAAAAACTTCACTTCCTTTTGTTTGAATGTTGCTACTGCTGCTGGTGGCTGCTCTTTAATATGCAGCTCACATACAATTCTAAATGAAGACTTTGTGACGGCGGGCGGCGGCTACACTTGTGCTGGAGTTACTGTTTTATTTTGCCCTCATACAGTGTCTCTGCGAACACACACAGTCTCACGCAACAAAACTTCTACAAACGGTGGGGCGCACTGTGCACTTTTCGTTGCCTTCCGTACGACTCACGACGACGACTTTAACGGCACGAGCTGAGAATTAAAACTGATTTGATTTTTGGGGAGTGTAAATATTCTTTTGTTTATTCCGTTCTGTCCGTCCGTTGTGGCGCTGCGTTGACTGCACGAGAAGGGCGCAGAAGCATCGCAGCAGCTGTTTCCTATTTTGGCACAAACAAAGGGAAGTAAAATTCTAATAAGAAAGGCAACAGAAAAGAGAATTGCAACAAAAACAAACGCAGTGTTGTCTGAGAGAGTAGTAGATGAGCGACAATGCAGGGAAATGAAATTTGAGTAGTAAATTTGTGGCGTTTAATTGTATTTATAACGGAAATTGAAAAAGCAGACCTTGGACATTCCAACAGGAATCAGCATCATCGCACTCAGCAAGCGCCACCCAAGAATGGTTACAAAATAAGGTTCATCGCACCAAAATCTTCGGATACCAATCTGTTGGACTATTGTGTCTGGAGTATTTTAGAAAGCAAGGTTGGCACGAAAAATATCAATTTGTCGATCACCTCAAGAAAGCGCTTCGCCGGGAATGGGCTAAAATACCGCAGAGCAACATTCAAGCAGTGTGTACAACCGTCACCGTCATTGGCCGCAGTCGATCTCAACAAATGCATGAAATTATTTTCAACCATTAAATTATATGGACTGTTTATCAATTCACATAAAGATTTCAAACATGATTTTCTTTTTAACGTTCTTAAATATCATATAATCACCCTATACAAGCCCCATAAAGCTTTGCATTATGTAGAGAATGTATATGTCAAACTAGTGCAAGTAGTAACCATTGCCAGTGACTTTAAAACTGTTGTCCTCTTTACTATCGAATGTGTAATCGATAACTTGCCAACCTGTTGTTGCCTTGTTACGGCTGTTTAATATGTTGGTATTGGTATTAAAAAGATGTGTGATTGTGTGTAATTTAGAGTTTTTGCATTTGCTAGAAAAATTATTTTTTTCGTTCCTTTTAGCTGACAGACCTAATTTGTTCACTTCCTTTTAATTATTCCTTTCCATTCTATATTGACGGCGACAAAAGCACAAGACGGCTCCGTGATTACAACCATCAGCTGATGTAGTTATTCTATGTCTCATTCGTAAACAGTTTTGTTTTATCGGTCTTTTTCTTTTGATTCTGGGAAAGCTTTTCATACTGTCCGGTTCGTTGATATTTAATAACTAACGATATTCTTGCTCTGTTGGCACTGCCATTCGCTCTCTGTTTAGTTAATTTATTTAAAGAAATATGTCTGATTCGGATGATTGTGATTGGTTTGACAAGGACGAGGATGCCTTAATGAGAGATTTTGAAAGGAATATGAAAGCCAAAGAAGCAGAACGTATGGAGGAACATATCAAAGTGCCAACAAATACTTTGGGTGAGTTATTGCAGTGCAATTTTGAAATTGAATATCCTAGCTAATCCCCACACTTTACTTTTCAGATAACTACATAAAAGAGTTAACATTAAAGGCCTCCTCATCCCACACAAAAAAGAGCGGTAATGCGAACAAGAAGAAATGCAATATTGCAGAACTGCGAAAGATTAATGCCTTGTCACCGCTGGATCAGTTTCTTTATACACACACAATGGAATATGACTTTTACAGTGGGCAATTGCAGCCCAATGACAGTCAGGAGAAGGTTATTTTATATACCAGCATATTGGCTGCGATATGTCGCTTGGAGCTACCGGGTTTCCAGAAGCCTCTGCTGCAGGCTTTTCGTGACAACATTTGTTTACAGGAGCATCTACGTCTGCTGTTGGCCAAATTGTTTTGCAAGCGCTTTAAAGATATGTGGAAACAGCAAGAGGATATGGAGCATTTATTGGAAAACATTGAATTGTTATTTATACAAAGCTATAGCACGAAAACTACTGACGTTGGTCATGATAGAGAACAGGATATGCTTAAAGACTTATTGAAAATATTGGACAAAAGTGATAACGACTTGGCCGTGTGTAAGAAGTATAAAAATCGTCTCAAAGAAAATCTTCAGGGTCTTGTAAATAATGCCAAAAGTTCAGAAACAAGTACCTGGGAAATATATCCTACAATTGATGAGCTATTAAATGATGCATCACAGTGTAATGGTGAAGATATGACCAAATCCCTCCTACCCGTCCAACAATACTTGAACAGGCATATGCAATTTCTTAAGGAAGATTTTCTCTTGCCCCTGCGTGAATGTGTTAAATATGTGAAGAGTAGTGCATCCCAATGTCCTGATAATTTCCATCTCTTTGATGATGTTTTTATTGTATTGAATGAACAATTTCTGGATGCAAATCGTCATGAACTGTTATTTGTGGATATCCTTGGAAGTCGGCGGAATTTAGATGACGATGGTAATACGAATATACCGTGGGAGGTACAGGAGAAGTTGTGGAAAATAAAATCCGGCGCCTTGCTGTGTTTTACCACATCCCGAGATTTTGATAATCTGATTTTGGCCACCGTCACCTACACCAGCCAGGAATGCCTGAAGGAGGGATATGTGAGTATGCCATGTTTAAAATGTCTAAAGATTAGAAACAAATTCTTGGCCAGCAAATTATTATTGTATCCTGTGAAAAGATTTCCAATAAGAGGTGATGTTTTGCTATTCAAAACCTATGCTAGTTTTAGACATTAATTTTCAGAGCTTTATTTCATAATAATAAAACAATATGAGCCAAAGAAGCATTGCAACATCAGTACCGTATCTAGTAAATTGTGGGCAAAGGTAATGTCGCACTCGAAAATTTATATAGCACCCGCCGTGGACGATCTCGTTTCCGACTGAGGAGGTAACACCAGCGCAGACATCGAAAGCGCTTGGTCCTGACGAAATGTTTTTGGCGATGTTGAAGCCACTAGATAAACTTTTAGTTGAACCACCCTAATAGTTACCGATGCCTTGGGAAGTGCAGGGTGGTCCATCTATGGAAGCCAAGGAAGGATGCCAGCAAAAGTGATTCATACAGGCCCATATCAATAGGCGCTTGAGGTATTATTTCTCCCCAGCATAAGGTAGTGTTTCGCAGTAGCTGATCATCAACATGGACTCCGAAAATTGCATAGAACAACAACAGCTTTTCACGTCGTTTCTACACAAGTCGGTAAAGGACTCAACTAGAACGACTCCTCCCCAACATTAGAGGAAGCTATCCAGTTGCTAATTTTCAGCACGGATTCCGTCCACAACATAGTACGATTATGGCGTCGGGCCCAGTGATTGACGACATATGTGAAAGGATGAATCCTATCTCGCAGAGCTTGAGTAGAAGCACATCCAGACCTACCAGAATGCTGCCCTGAGAACTGCGACAGGGTGCCTCCTCATCCATTGCAGCTGAAGAACTTCAGATGTCCACACAAACCAGGGTAGTTTTGGTGCAATTACGTTCAGGATGATGCAGTCGTATCAATTCGTATTGGACACGAATTAACGAGGATGTGCGTGACGTCTGTCCGGGGTGTGATATATGTTTGCCCAACCCACTCCAGAAGATCTCTGGTTACAGCCCGTTAAGGTAGCCGAATTTTTAAACGTGAAGCTTGAACAAGATTAGCAGAATACAAACATCCATATGTACTACTGCTACAACAACAACAACCAGAACGACCGTGCTACAGAAAATTTATGTTGGCGCTTGATTTATCCAAAGTTTTTGAAAAAGTCAATCGCGCAATATTATTTGAGGACATTGAAACGTTGGATCGTCAACTACATGTTTGGACGCCAGTCGTATGTGGAATTTAGAAATAAGAGTTAAACATGGAGTAGAGTTAATCAGGGAGTCCCCAAAGTTGGGATGATATCTAAGGAACTTTTTAATTTCTACCTTTCTGGCACTCCACGCCCTTTAGACGGTATTGAGTTAATAACGTACGCTCATGGCAAATTATTGATAACATTTGCGAAAGGTTGAACCCTACTTACTTGAACATATGAACATATTCGTCTAGAAACCGACGGCCACACTTTTCACCACATGGACAGCAGAGATGATAAAATAGGTTTACATTCATCCATATATAAAATTCTTTTCACCGGACTTATATAGTGTCTTGATAAAGTTGGAGAGGCTCATTTTATTTTTCTATAATAATTTGTAGCGATTTTAATAATAATCAATATTTTTCTCTTTCAATTCCATTTCAGATTGGCATTGAAATAGCTCGTCAGCATAATATTGGCAACATCTATAAAAGACCATTGCTAATGTTTGAAACTCCAGCCTTTTTCGAACCTTATCACAATGTTTTCAATTACTTGAAAAATTGCAATTCAGCCGAATTTCCCATGAAACAATATATTGTGGATGAAGAGCATCCCACCACGGCGCCCAAATACTTAACAAACGATACTCTATATCAATGTAATGGACAAAAATTCCATCCCTTAAGAGAGTCTCTCGAAAAAGATACCCTAGAATTAAATCCCTCACAACTGGAGGCATTTTCCAAGGCCTTAAAACAAGAGTTTGCATTAATTCAAGGTCCCCCAGGAACTGGTAAAACCTATCTATCCGTCCAGATAGTTAAGACATTAATAGAGAATGCCGAAACGCCGTTAATTCTGATTACCTACACAAATGAGTCATTGGATAAGTTTTTGGTAAAGCTATCGGCCTTTACAGAGAATATTGTTAGATTTGGTAGCCAAACCAGAGATCAACGTATTGCCAAATATAATGTCAAAGATGTGGTTGAACATTCACTGATAAATCCCAAATTAAAGAGGTTATACTATCTCTGTAGCATGGAATTCAAGGAGGCTTTTGGTTATCTGCAACAAAAGCATCGGGAATTTGATGGCACGGACAAATCTTATGGAGAGATTTTAAAGGCTCAAAGTAAACTGGCTGAGGTCAGTGAAAAACTAAGAACTCTCAAGACAATGTTTCAATACTATGTGGCACGGGAGAAATCTATTATTGGCATGACCACAACTTGTGCAGCCAAAACGAATTTTTTGTTTCGATTGCTGAAAAGTAAAATTGGTTAGTTCAAAATTTGGATAAAATCTATTGTTATTATAATAATTTTGTTTGTTATTCTTTTAGTTATCTTTGAGGAAGCTGCTGAAATTTTGGAATCCCATATTGTGGCCTGTTTGACACCCCACACCCAACATGTCATTATGATCGGTGATCATCAACAACTACAACCATATACCTCAAATTATCAATTGCAACAAAAAACCCAAATGAACATATCTCTATTTGAGAGAATATTTTGTAAACATCCCAACCCCATTGTTTTGCGTACCCAATATCGTATGCATCCGAAAATTGCTGATCTTCTGTCGAATACAATCTATAAAGATTTGGATAGTGATGAAAGTGCCTCTCACTATCCAGCCATAAGACAAATGTCCACAAACCTATTCTTTATGAATCATAATAAGCCAGAGGCCAAGGCCGAACAAGATTCGTCCCTCTACAACCCATATGAAGTTACACAAGTTGTGCAATTATCATTGCATTTGGTACAAAATGCTTTGTACAATGTGGAGGATATACAAATTTTGAGCCCCTATGCAAGGCAAATTGAGATGATACGGAAGCAGGTAGGTTTTCTTCATAAAATTTTAATTTGAAATAATATTTTTGGTCTCCTTTCAGTTGCAACAACATCCTTCTTTACAAGCCCTTAAAGCCTGCACCGTTGATAGTTTCCAGGGTTTGGAGTGCAACATTGTTATACTGTCATTGGTGCGCAGTAACAGTACATCTCAAATTGGTTTCCTGAAACAAAGTAATCGCATTTGTGTGGCCCTGTCACGTGCCAAGCATGCCATGTATTGTATCGGCAATTTGGATCTCTTAAGTCAGTGTAGTACCATTTGGAAGGAGATTGCTGAGAAAATGCAAGACCACAAGGCCGTGGGTGATAAATTTCCCATTGAATCGGAAAACTACTTTTATGATAAATAAGAAAGCAAAGAACATATAATTGTATTTATTTGTAATTAAATTTTTGCATATCAACCAAACGAACAAAGAGACTGACAAAGAAAGCAAATATAATATTTTTGTCTGTTACAACATACCCACCAATTTTGTACTTACTCTTCTTTAGCTTGTTTATATTTATGAATGAAAGATTTATTTTAATTTTTTCACATTTTCAGTTTTTTATTAGATTTTTTCTTATGATCTTTTTGTTTGTCTTTTGAGATGTAGATTTTATTATTATTATTATTATTTATTTTTTGTAAACGTATTTCATTTTTATATTTTCTCATGTAAACTACATTGTAATGCTTAAAAACCAAAAGAAGGAGAGTAAAAGTAAATAGTTTTTTTTTTATTTATATTATTTATTGTTTCGTCTCAATTTGTATATTTTTGTATTACTTTATTTATTTAAATAATTTTAAAATTTATTTGATTTTTGAAAGCAGACAAGAATCATTATTTTATTTGTAAAAAATAACTTGTGACAATGTTGACGAAATGTAATAAACATTTAAGAAACCATAACTGCTAAAGTACTAAAGAAGTTTGATGTGGAATCAAAGAACTATTAGAATGCCTAGGGATTTTTAAAGTGACAAAAGGCCTTTTACAGAAATGGCATATGGCGGACCTTCTGAAGATCAAAGTGCAGGCAGAACATATTTTTCAGGCTTTTCTTTTTAAATAAAAAACACGACCTTTTAAGTTTCTTATTTAAACAAATGAAATGTTTCTAATAAGAATAATGTTTATTGAAGGCTTCCTAGAGGCCGAAAAAAATTTGACGGCCTTATTTATATTGAAGACCGTTAAAAAATATTCTCATAATAGAAAACTTTCAAAAAGTCTTCTATACATAGATGACATTTTAGAAGACTTAGACCCTTTAAGTTCCCATAGGCCCTTTAAATGTCCTATAACTAGAAGGCCTTTCAATGATCTGCTATAAGAAGAATATCCTTTAAAGGACTCGTTTAGAACTTTTTCTAAAATCAGAAACAATTTTTAAATATTCTATACACATATAAGGTCATCTAAAGACTGCTTCTAATAACACTGTGCGACAAATAAAATCAGCAGATTAGGAAAGTAGAGCCAAGTAAAAGAAGATATGTGTATCGGCTTTTTTTGAAAGTTTATATCGCAAAGCAACCTAAATAGTAAGAGCCTCTTGTGCCTCCCTTCACACTTTTTTATACCCTCCCCCATTCTATGGTATGTTAGCTTTGTCATTCCGTTTGTAACTCCTCGAAATATTCACAAGAGACCCTACAAAGTATATACAGGGTGAGATAAAAAAATTGCAACCAACTTCAGACTGCTGTCATTTCTAAGCCACTCGTCCGACAGCTGCTAAACATATTTCAGTGTTGTTTCGAAGCGTACAAAAGCATTTTGGTGAGAATTTTCCAGAAAACAAGTTATTCGTGGTGGAATTCAAGCGTCATGGTGTGATTTCTTTATATTTGGCTTTAAAACCACAAGCGGCTATCGTTAGGGCACTCCAGCATTTAAATGTGAATAAATCTTTTTTGTCTCGTACCATCGCTCGTTACCGTGATACTGTTAGTGTAGCCCGACTTCAAGGATGTGGACGGAAGAAAACAGCAACATAAGCAGAAATGGTTTGAAAAGTAAAGAAGCGACTTGATCGAAACCCGCGTCGCAGTGGCCGAAAAATGGCTCGTGAGCTGAACACGTCGCAATATTCCATTCGGCAAAAATTGAAAAATGAGTTCGGTGTAAAGCCATTGAAATTCCACAAAGTTCAAGAACTTACACCGCAACAGAAAGAAAATAGACTCAAAAGAGCTAAAGAGTTGCATCGCTTGGCCGAAAGTGGTGAACTGCCGAATTTGGTTTTCTCCGATGAGAAAACAACATTCGTTGTCAAGCAGTTTGTAAAAAAAACTAAAAAAAAAAAAATGATCGAGTTTATTTGCCAAGAAGATGACAGCTGAAAATGTGCACCTTCGGTTCGCCAGAACCAGAACTCAAGCGCCGGCCATGGTAAGGGTGTGGGCTGCCATAACAGCCGATGGTCGCTCAGGACTCAGCACCATCGCACTCAGCACAAGCAACCCAAGAATGGTTATAAAATGAGGTTCCTCGCTTTATTTTCAGGGCACAATGGCCACCAGATACCAATCCGTTGGACTATTGTGCCTGGAGTACTTTGCAAAGCAAGGTTTGCACTAAAAAATACCAAAGTGTCGATCACTTCAAGCAAGGGCTTCGCCGGGAATGGTCCAAAATACCGCAGAACAACATTCGGGCAGCGTGTGACGGTTTTATTGGCCGTTTGAAGGCCATTATTTGTGCCAAAGGGGACCAATTCGAACAAATCTAAACAAAATTCCGAATATCGGGATGTGCCGTGATATGGGGGCTATACGAAGACGTGGACCTGCACAGACAATCTCCTGCCATAGGCTGTAGCGTCCATTACGAACATCAAATGCCAAATTTGAAAGAATTTTGATGAATATTGTAGTTAAAATCATCAAAATACCGAATATCGGGCGGTACCGTTAAATTGGGGCTATACCAAAAGGTGGACCTTCATGGCCCATTTTAAATACCAAAAGTCCAGCAGACATACTATGGTGGAGGGTATCCATACTATGGTGGAGGGTATCAAAAAACTTTGTTTATTTCTGAAAATTTAGCACCTTTTCCCAATTTGCTACAAACTTTCGTATAATTTTAGCCAAATCGTCTTGAAAATATGCTGAAGACCTTCAAACAAAAATACTTCTATAATCAATTAAAACGATTTTTTTATCAAGAACTGCCTTAAAATAGGCCTTGGGTGTAGAGTTAAAGACTTTACCGGGAAAATATTAAAATCTGGACGGCATTAAAAGCTAAACTTCGAAAGGGCGGCACATCATCAACATTGTCTATCGAAAATAATTTCACACACACATTAATAATATTTAATTATAATTTTTTTAACATACAAAATGGATACAAGCTAATTAGAAAGGGAAAAGATTTGGGGGAAAGCCAATTGGATTTAAATATTTTCTCAGTTATTTTGACACATTGATCGGAAACAAAACAGGAAAAGGATGGTCACTATAACATTGCCAATATATATATTTGTTTTTTTATTTTTATTATTATTTTAGAATATTTAAATACTAAAATATTTCTATATATGTTTTGGATTTCTTCTTAATTTTTTCCTCCAATGGTTGTGTGTATATAATGTATACATATAATATTCATTTGATTTGATAGTTGTTTTTTTTGTTGTTTATTTAAGTTTTTGAATTTATATTATAATTTGTTCTTTTTTATTGTTATTATTATTTTTAATTATTATTTGGTTAATTACCTTTTTATTCTGTTAATTTAAACTTTGTTCATAATTCAACGTTTTGCTTTTGTTTTAAAGGGGATTTATTTTATCTCAGTTTTTGTTGTTTTTTTATTTGGTTTTTTAAAGGGGTTTTTTATTTTATCTCAGTTGTTGTTGTCTTTTTATTTGGTTTTCAAAGGGATTTTATTTTATCTCAGTTGTTGTTGTTGGTTTTTTTATTAATTTCGTAATTCTATATAAAAATATGCTAAAATTCATTTTTCTTCTTGTTATTCAATGTCATGAATGTGCGTTGATGATCATAATCTGGCAAAAGGTGGAAATTATACAAAATATTAAAATTTAAAAAAAAGAAAATATAAAAATATCTAAGGCAAAGGCCATCCTTGTTGCGTACCAGTTATCCGGGGTGCACCTGCCCACGAAATAAATTAGCGGCCCTGCGAAATTCGATTTGAAAGAAGTTAGAAAGTATCAGTATATTTATATCAAATTTCACAATACAGTAGATGTTTTTAAAATCCAAAATTTTCAACACGCGTCTTTAAAAAAAATTAGCAGAAATGTTCTATTTTTTGACCAGGAAGCTCTTAAACAACAAAAATGTTAAATTGAAATTATTTTTTTTTTAAATCCTTTGATTTTTCAAAAACAAAAAAAAAACAAGTAAAAACTCTGTAAGTTCGGCCGGCCCAAACGAATTTGGCAATAAAATCCGTTAAAAATTCTGTTGAAATCTTAAAAATGCCGAATGTAGTTCTTATAATAGGGTCTATACGACAACATGGACCTGTATAGGTAACATTTGTCATAATCCATTACAATATTCAAATGCGAAACTTAAAAAAATATGGGGGCTATGCGAAGACGTGGACTGGCATAGACAATTTTCTGTCTTAGGCTGTAGTATACAAATACCAAATTTGAGGAATTTCGGTGAATAATTTCGATAAAATCATCAAAATACCGAATATCGGGAGGTACCGTTATATGGGAGCTTTACCAAAACGTGAATCTACATGGCCCATTTTCAGACATAACATACATTTGAGTAAAATTTTATCAATCTACTTCAATTCGTTCGGAAGCTAGAGTGATTTCCACAGACGGACGGACATCGCTTAATATACCCTCCATACTATGGTGGAGGGTATAAAAATTGAACTCGAAATATAAAAAAATGACACAAATCCTGATCCGACAGACCAGAGGGCTGCAACGAGTATGAATAATTCAATCACACTCGATCTCATACATACGAAAGCCGCATCGCTGTGGCCGAAAATGGCTCATGAGCTGAATATATCGCAATATTCCATTCGGCAAATATTGAAAAATGAGCTCGGGTTAAAGCCATTGAAATTTCAAAAGTGCAAGAACTTACACCGCAATAGAAAGAAAGTAGACTCAAAAGAGCTAAAGAGTTGCTTCGCTTGGACGAAAGTGGTGAACTGTGGAATTTGGTTTTCTTCAGAAAACATTCGTTGTCCAGCAGTTTGTAAATAAACAAAATGATCGTGTTTACTTGCCAAAGAGATCAGCTGAAAATGTGGCCTCCAGAACTCAGGTTGGCCACCAGAACTCAAGCGCTGGCCACGGTGAAAAGGTGTATATTGACAACATTTGGTCTCAACAGGATGGTGCTATGAGATAAACAAACCACAATCGATTTTCAAAAAAAAAAAAAATATATATATATATATATATATATATATATATATATATATATATATATATATATATATATATATATATATATTTGGCGGATTCTTGAAAATTTCGAACTTTTTTTGAGATAAATGCCAGAAGGAGTGGTACAATCTTAGAAATTGTTCAAAGTATGGTAAATAATGTCAATGTTCCAAATTTTGGATTCCCAAGTTAACTAAAGTACAAATTGCATAGATTTCTGCACATAATTTTACTTGACGCAAGAATAAAAACTTAAGGAAAATATAAAAATCTAATTTTGCTTGAGATTCGCATAATAGATAAAATTATCTTTTTAATTAATTTCACTTCCAATCATGGCAAAATAAAGAAGGTAAATCGTTTCAAATAAGCATTCCCATCTCTGCATTTTCTGTAATTTACCTTGTTAAATTTCAGTGAATAAAAAAATAGGTTACCATCTTTGATTTCTGTGTAATCAATGAATTCACAAATCAAAAATTTTGACAATGAGATGTTGTCAAATAAATAATTTTGAGAAAGTTGTAAATGCATGACTTTACCTTCTTAATTATACCAAGTTTCCAATCAAGAACTCAAATTTTCTATAATGAATGTTCGTTCATTTTACCATTACACCATTAAAAAAGTAAAACAGATTTAAAATCATAATGCGAATGTAAATCAATCAATTTTTTAATATATGTATTTGTTTTTTGTTTTTAAAGAGACATTTTGTTTATTTGATGTTGTTGTTTTATTATTTTGTTATTGATTTTATTTTATAGATCTTATGATATATTTTCTATAAATTTGTTTTCTTTCTTTATATACTTGTTTATCTTTTCTTCCTTGTTTTTAAGTGCATTTTTTACAATGTATAATTTATTTATTTATTACTTAGAAACTAAAAAAAACAAAAGAAAAATGGGAGTAAATAATGTCATATAAAGGAGGATAGGGAGGGAGAGGGAAGAAGTTGCGGGCGGCAGACAACATGTTTTGTTTTACAGGGTGCCAGAAGAAAATCAAATTAATTTTTTTTATCAAACAAGGCAGATGAGGCAAATTATTTAAATGAGCATCAAAATTTTTAAAAGTTACTTCGTATTTGATCATATTCGACCACATTTTTCTCCTATGGACGGTATTTGTCTATTTTGCGTTTGAAACAAACTAACGTCTGTAAAAGTCAAAATTTTGGAGAAAACTGAGAATTTTTTACAGAATGACAGGCTATTCAAAAACACATAATTTAAAAAAAGGTTTTTTAAATCGCCGGTGGCATGCTTGAGTCTTCCATACGCCATTTTCCTATGTTAAGGATGGGAATTCTAAAGTTGACCTTTCCAATTTCTCGGAACTCACTGAAAATTACGTTTATAAATTTTTAGCCTGAATTTTTAGGAGAATATCAGGCGAGTCGCATAAGTGAATTCGGTACGAAAGTGATTTTAATTTCGTATTTAGCTTCTTCACAAAATCTAAATCGTAAAATTTTTTCGATTTGAAACCACTTTTGTGGTGGTGTAGTTCACCAATTCGCACGAAATTTGAAGAAGCTCAAACCAAAACGTACAATATTGAATTGCGAAATTCAAACCATTTCGATACGAATTTGTGACATGCCTGTATATGTGATGGATAATCCAGAAAATTGCAGACGAGTGTCTTAAAATTTTTTTTTTCAAAATTTTTGGTCTGTTCTAGAACCCAAAGAATTTAATAGTTTTGCAATATTCTCCGATATCATACTCGGTAATCGTAGTAAAAACTTTTATATTCTAGCAGTTATGGAACAGACCATCTATTAAACCCTTTATAAACATTTGTTACTTATTCGAATATTTGACAGAGTCGCACCTCGGAACATATGAGATAACATTTTGTAATCTTATGTTTCTGAGTTCTAAATTTGTAATAAAAATAATAATATACAGATTTTTATATTTTTAAATGTATATACGTGGACATTTCAAAAATTAAAACAGAAATATCTTATATTAGAAATCCCCGTATCTCAAAAAGTGGTAAATGGCTTAGGGAGACCTAAGCATATGTATACTATATTAGACCAGGGTCCGCAATCTAGCTGTTTGAGTACATATGTTAGGTATGTTAGAATTTAGAATAATATTTGATAGTACCTATTCAGAATAATAATTTCTTGGGTGTGGAATTTTTATTTTTTTTAAAGAAATATAGAAATATTTCATTTAAAAATTCTCGTAGCAACACATTTTTAAATCTAACATTTAAATTACTCTAGACGCCCTGTAAAACATGAAACATTTTTAGGGTGGGAGAAGGACAAGGTGAGATATAAGTATTTTGAGATTAACGGAGATTAGAACTAAAAAAATTGTCTTTGCATTTCTTTATAAAACTATACATTAAAAGTCAATATTTTGTAAAACATTATTAAAAAGTAGTATAATGCGAAAATAAAAATAATGCGAATGTAATTTTGAATTGAAACAAACTTTAGCATAGAATTCTTTTGTTTTTTTGATTGAAATTAATTTATTGAAATTCCCAGTTTTAAGATTGACTAACAAATAAATAATTTTATCTTGTAAGAAAGATCGTATTAGTGACTTTATTGTTAATTTTCCAAATTAAAATGAAATTATTTTTGGTTGATGTTCTGCATGCATCTACAATCTTTTTGGCTGAGGATACTATTTTATTTGGGTTAAATCGAGATTTATCGGCATTGCTTTGGGCAGTTGTTACGAATTATACTTTGGAAAAAATTATATTTCTTCGGAATTCTAAATATGTTCATGATCAGCATTTGATCGGACTTCAGATTATTAGTTTTGGTCGCCTTATTTAAACTTTGAAATTAAAATGTTGCACTTGATACTTTTGAAAACATGTCATGGTACAATAAAATCAAGATAAACTCATTTCAAGTAAAGATTCCCAGTACTGAATTTAGCTGCATAGAAAACAGGTTCCCATCTCAGATTAGATTTATAAGTATTAATTTGGACAATAAGATGTTGTCAATGGTGTAAAGGTGTGGTACATGTCTTGAAGTCTTCGCATGGCATATTTTGTGACATATCATAAATGGATGTCAGAGCCGCACTCAAATTCTGCCTTCATTTCCCTTTTATAATTTGACATTATTATGCCTAGCCATGATGCCAAGCTGCTTATGTACCCTCACCTTAATTTTGAAAATGTTGTAAACATATAATTGCATGACTTTTCCCTCATAGTTCTCACAAGTTCTCGTTTCTACTAATTTAAATTCATTAAAATATATTATCACTCCTTTAAATTTTGAAATAAAACATTTTAATTCGAAATTTGTGCCTTAACTGTTAACGCCAACGGCAAATCGCATCGCATACTGGTTAAATACGTGACTCATCGGTAGATTCCAAATTTTCAGTGCCATTTCCTTAGTTTATTAATAGGCCAACGCGAAAGAGAAATTATGAAATATCCATTTACCAATGAACTTTGTCTTAAGAGAGGGTAAACTCCACATTCTGTACTCGGAGGAGGGCACTGTTTGTTCTGCACTCATGTTACGACTAAGCCCAAATTAATATGGACGTGCAGAAGGCGAATTCAGACCTTAGTCTTCGATGGCTGCGAAAACTGATAAATATACTCCAACAAAAGAAAAAAAAATATTCCACGTTTTAATTAATTTTTATACTGTACAAAACTATGGCCAGTTCTTATAACTTTTCTATATAGTCCAGTTTTTTATCCCTTATTTTGGAAAAGTAAAGACAAATTAGGGTTTTCACTATTACATCTTTTCTCTAAAATAAATGATTTTTTTAAATGTGGCAAAAAATTATTACTTTTTGTAAATGTGGGTGCACAGTGGAATCTTTGTTTTAATTAAGAATGATAAATTAATTACTTTAATGACAAAAGGAAAAGCGGTTAACTTGTCCGACAACATATTTTTATATTTATCGAGAAGATGTAATATCCGGCCTATGTGTTTGGGGGTGTTATAAGTTTGTTTGGGTTTGTAAAACCTCGATGTACCATTTAAATGGTCACCGGATAATATTAAGTCGATTAAGTAGACCAAAGTGTGAAAAATACCAATATTTCCCTTCAAACGCGAATATTTTTAATGCGCAAAAGTCACTTTCCGGCGAAATCACGTTCTTTACATTGATGTTGATTTTGTAGACTTCTATAGTAAGACCTGGGACGTATATCCAATTGTAGGCAGAAATATACATTTCCAAATATCGTTTTCAATTCCTCTTGGGACGATAGAGGATTAAAAATCGGACAAGTGACAAGAGTGGATTCGGTCAAAACCCAAAAACACTTTCGTTGGATTGCATGACAATTTTTCAGCAAACAAATGGACCAAAATTATATATGTTTATAAAATATAAATAAGCTCCCATAGGAGCTGCATTTTCTGGAAAATAACGGTTCAGGCCAAGAAAGATTGAAAGAATACTACCTTTAAGTTGCCGATTAATACGCTATTTATAACCAACATCATTCGAAAACTAGAGAAAACCCTTGATATTGCAATGGTACAATAAAAAGTTAAGGTGGGGCTACCAGTTGATTACAATTTTTTTTCTAAGTGTGTCCGACTTCTGCCAGCTTCGGGTATGTGTTTATAGTTAAAAAAAAATAAATATTTTCATTACCAATGATAGAAAAAAAGTACGTTACAGGGCTATTTCGCGCTATTTAACAATTTTGAAAATGAGGAAAAATACAAAATGAATGAAGACAACTTGTTGCATACAATTTTAAATAATTCTGACAGGAAGTGGTCACAGCTACAGGGATGTATTTTTGTAGTTTTACAAAGCTGTTATACTTTCTTATTGTACCATGGATAATAGGATTTTGTTTCAAAATTCCAAGTTTGATTTTTTTTGGAAAAATATTTAAATAATTTTTTAAAATTAGAACAGTGTTGGCTTGTTTGTTCGGGATATCATAGTATTTTGTTGTTGCAAAATGGTCAGGCTTAATCCCTTTATTGTTGTTTTTATAAAAACAATGTTTGTTTATCAGTGGAGAACGACGTTAATGTTTACCAAAATTTAAAATCTTACATTTGAAGTACAAAGCTAAGCTAATTTTTGTGAATTTTTTGGATTTAGACATATTTTGATAATTCCTTGCCAATTCTTGCTAAATGAAATAATTTTGAAAAAAACCAAGTAACTTTAAAAACCTCATCTTGCTAACAAATTTTTGAAATAAAAATTCCGAATTTGTATAGAATGATTTTTTATACTTTAAATATTTATTTGTTTTGTTTTTTGTGGTTGTTTGTTTTATTTTAATGTTTGTTTGTTTTTTTGTTTTCTTTCTTTCCTAAAAATTTGTTATAACACCTAAACACATCTCTTTAATCGTTCAGTTTTGTTGTTGTTGTTGTTTGTTTGTTTAACCGGAACATAGTATAGCGCAATCAATACAATACGAAGAATAAAGAAAATAATAATAAGCAGGTTTTTGGAGCGTAACGTGCTGGGAGAATTATTGGACTTAAAATTATAGCTACAATGACAATAAATATAAATCTATTTAAACAAAAACGGAAGGGGGAGGGAAAATGCAAGGAAAATAATGAAAACTAAATAATTGCAAAGATTGTGCTTGAAAGACATAGAGGGGAGAGGGGGGGGAGGACTGGGGTTTGGGAGAAAGGAAAAAAAGAGGATAGGAAACATAAAATGGTTTAAATTGCTACTTTTTGTGTTTTTTGTTTTGTTTTAATTAATTAAATTTTAAAAACTTAAAAAATAAATTATGTTTATTTGTTTTTGTTTTTCTTTTGTTGTGGGCTTTCATTATGATCATGACATCAGTTGTTGTTGTTGTAGTTTTATAAAGATTGTTCCTGTGGTCCTTGTGTTGAAGGTGGTTGTTTTTAATAATAATTTTAATATTATTATTATTATTTTTGTTGTTGTTTGTTTTTGTTTAATGTTGTTGATGACGGCAACGACGACGTAGACGTAGACGACGATGATGATAATAACGACAACATCGTTAACGAAGAAAATGATAAAGGCGACGGCGATATGAGTTTCTAAAAAATGGACAACGGCAGCTTTTACTTGATTACCAGAATCATTTTGTAATTCTCCTATTGAATGTGTTTTTTGTTGTTGTTGTTGCTTTTGTAAAATGTACTCCCTGCTATTCTGGTGGTGGTTGTTGTTGTTGTTAATATTTTGGTTATTCTTGTTGTTGTTGTTGATAATGTTGCTGTTGTTCTTGCTACTATTACTAAAGGCTGTTAACGTTGTCTTGTCACATAAGTTTTATTGCTACCGCCGACTAATTAGACCATTTGGTGGCAATTGTTGACTTGCCGTATGCATCAGTTCCAATTCCACCAGCAGTGGAAAATGATCGGAGGGTATGTGTGGATGCGGACAGCCAACAACTTTGTTCTCACGCAGCCATTCATTGGATATGGGCCCCAACAGGCCCAGCGGCACCATGCCCGTCTTGGTATAGAAAATATAATCGATGATGCCTTTGAAATCGAACGTGTAATTCGTATAGGGCATTATGTCCTCGCTGTAGGCCGAGGCCAACTTAAAGGAATGCGTAAATTCTGAGGTGTCATTCGAGAGTAAACGTTGCAGGCACGATTTGTAGCCCATATCCTTGAAATCGCTGTGGTCCATATTGACGCGACCCTTGCTCAAGAATTCCACCACACCCGAATCGGGTAGGGAATTGAAATCGCCACACAACAACAGCTGTACACTGTTCAAGTCATTCTTATGGCCAGGTCTAAAACTATGACTGGCCTCGTCAATTATCGTCTTCAACTCGTTGCTCAACATCATGGTCTGAATTAGTTTGACATCACAGAACTCCGGATCCCAATGGATGTGGGCCGTGCACACCAACAACGCCTGCGAGGTTTGGGTTACATCCAGCTCGGGATCCCAGGCATTATCCTTGACCTTCAACAAAGCGGCCAGACCAATATTGTCCTTGGGCATAACACGATTCAACATGTTGTCAGATCCTTCTGCATTGGCCATGGCCAGTTGATTGAATTCAATCAAATGCTCTTTGATGAGAGAGAATCTGGAAAGCAAAACAAAAAACAGATAAAATAAAGAATGCTTTTTAATTTCCAATTATTTGTTGCATACTTTAAGGTCCTAAAAAATATAGCGCAACCATCCACATATTTACGTTCCACTTCGGACATTGTCTTGGCTCTGGACTTCGGCGAAAAGATACCCTCATAGCCATCATTCTTGAGTTCGGGCAGGAAAAAGTTATAGAATTGCTCCGTTTCGATTTCCTGCAAACTGATGATGTCGGCCGAGTAGTGACGTATCTCATCGAGAATGGCCTTTTTGCGGTACTCCCAATTCAAGGCCCATGAGGGACAATAGCCGTACATTTGTCGGGTGGCATATTTGTCACACAACACATTGTAACACATGACGGTGAATAGACCTGGAAGATAAATTAAGAAAATTAGTGATTTAAATAGGTTGGGATTCGGAAGAAAAAATTGGAAAAAATTTAAATAAAATAAAAAAATAGAAAAAAAATGAAAAAAAAAAATATTGGAAAAAAATAATAGGTCGCGGAAAAAAAATCTACATCTGTTGGGGGGTTTGAAAAAAAAAATGGGTTAAAAGTCTGTTGACTGGATGTTTTTAGCAGAAGTAGTCAGGATTAAAAAAACCGTATATTGGCATTCAGAGGTAGACTTCTAGAATTAACTGGACTATGAAACAAGTGCCAAGTTTCGTAAAGGCTTTGGAGGCAAGATGGGCGGCAACCGTGTAGAGTACCAGACGCCAAGACCGAAATGTTGACAGAACACAACATGTTTGCCTGGGAAGTTGCCATATTCCGAAATTGCAGGAGGATATTGAATTGAAACTTCATTGTATGTGAAGCCTCCCTCATAAATAGTCAAAATTAAGAAAGATATTAAATATTGAAAAATATATCAATCAATGTCCAGAAGAACAAATTTCTGAAATTCTATATTTAGCTGAGCTGAGTAAATTGATTTAAAAAATCATACTTTTAATTACTAAATAAATAAGGAAACGTTAAATTTGGCCGGATCTTACTTTACCTTCCACATTTATAAAAAAAATAGTAAACGTTAAACGCTACTTCGCCAGCGAAAAGGCCATCTTTAAATTTTAGATTCCTTACAACAGTTCGAGTTAGGCCCTTTTAGTACTCAAATTGCACATTTTGTGCAGTTTGACTATTTTTTTTGTCAAAACTTGATAACATGAAACTTAAACCATAGAAACCTACACTGACTTTAATATCAAATTTCAGGATATCAGATCTTAAATTTACCCCATTACCAAATTTAGTGCAATTCAGCTCCCTCTTTCAACCACAGACACCAACAGTGACATCCGTATCAATTTTAAGGATTTCTGCTCTATTTCTTCACCCAATACCCAAATTAGTACCACTTAGCACTTTTCGTACAATTATAGTACACATTTCCAAAACCACCCCATACCTCAATTCCAGATGCCAACGGAGACCTCAGTATCAAATTTGAGGATTCTTGGCCTATTCCCTCAACCTAATACTAAATTTAGTACCATTTAGTACTTTTCGAACAATTATGGTACACATTTCCAAAAAAAAAAAAAAATAAAACACATCCATATCTTAACCACATACACCAACAGTGACCTCCATATCAAATTTCAGGATTTCAGCTGTATTCCTTCAGCCGATACCAAATCTAGTACTATTTAGTACTTTTCGCACAATTTATCCATATCTCAATTGTAGACTCTAACAGAGACCTCACTATCAAATTTGAGGATTCCAGCCCCAACCCTTTAACCAATAAACAAAGGGCATACCAGTAATCTAAATAAAAAAAATTAAATTGCATCTCTATCACTGCACAAAGTACCAGTACTTTCCATACAATCACGGTACACATTTCCGAAAACACCTCAATATGTCCAGACTACACATGAACAGCGACCCTAATACCAAATTCAGATTTCAAGCACCATAGGTTTATCAAATACGTAATTGTACCAAATATAGTACTATTTAGTATTATTTGTGTACTTGTAGTACACATTTCCAAAATCACAAACTTACAACCAACAGGGACTACAATACAAAATTTCAAAATTCCAGCTTTAACCGTTCAGCCTCAAGCAAACTGTCTCTACCCGTCCACATAATAACAAATTGTGCCATTTAGGAAGATTAGTACCATTTTAGAACTTAAACCTTAAAGTTCGAATTTCTAAAAACTCTTTGTTAAATCTTTCCTGTACTTCATCAATGACTTTCGTTCCGAATTTCAGAATTCTAGCTCATCAGAGGGTAAATTTATGTTTCATCCGATTTTGAATTTTAAGTCCCTCACATACGTAATATGCACTCCAAAAGAATGCTATTTGGTACCGGACATCAGATACTGCTCGAAAATACATCTGCCAAAATTTATCGAGATCAGTTTAGATTAGTATATAGCTTCGTTATATATCTTTATCCGATATTAGGATTATTGTGCCTCATATGGCTAATATCAGACTAGAAACCCGTACTTAAAATTTGGTGTCAATAGGTTCAGATATATCTACAGCTCCCATACTTATGTTTTATCCGATTTGGGTTTTAATGTATTTCACAAGCGTAATGTGCATTCCACAATAATGATCTTTGGTACCAGAAATAAGATACAGCTCTGAAATAAGTGTATCAAATTTTGTCAAGATCGGTTCAGATTTGGATATAGCTCCAATATATATCCTCAACCGATTTCGGGTTAATTTTGCACCAAATAGCCAATATCAGTCCAAAAGTCCTGAATTTCGGTACATCCGACCGAATTCAGTCTAGATGCAAGTACATCGAATTCGAAGAAAATCGGTTCAGAAATAGCTATAGCTCCCATATATATGTTTCATACGATTTGGTGTTTAAGTCCCTTATATTTGTAATATGCATTCGACAACAATGATATTAAGTACCAGATATCATATAGAGCTCAGAAATATATATGCCAATTTTAATCGAGATTGGTTAAGATTTGGATATAGCTCCCATATATATCCTTAATCCGATTTCTGGTTTATTTTGCAAATAATGGAATATATAAAACGGAGTGAATTTCGTACGTTTCCATTTTTTGGAACTCGGCTCCAATATATATTTTTTTTAATATAATCCTCCTCGAAGTGATATCATGCATTCTATAGCAATGTTAATTGGTAAAAAAATTAAAATGACATCCGTCAAATTTTAGTGAAAATCGATTCAGAATTGGATATGGCTCCCATATATTACTTCCCTCTGAAACCAAACTGTAACTGCTCTAAAGCCAAATGCTGATACGTGGTATGATCTACTTCAAATAAATTATTTTCTTACGGGATCTCGACTAATTATGCATGGTGGTGTAGGGTATGATATAGTCGACCCCGCCCGACTTTTGACTTTTCCTTATTGGTTTTAATATGTATTGTTAAAATTGTTTTTTTTTTTGACAAATAATGTTCTAGAATATTTTGGTTTTGTCGGTCATCTCCCCAAAATTATGGGTGTGCAAAAATGTTCCATAAACTTAGAGGGGGTGAGACTTTAAGACTAAAATAACTTTATATTTTTTTTATAGATTTGTGACTTTCAGGTTTGGTTTGGAGCTTTGATGTGCTCTGAAACCTAGTAAAAATCTGTGGAAAATAGTTTTGTAGAACATTTTTATCTGATGCGATCAGTTTTTAATTGAGTTTTTAAACGTTTTTATAGAAAATGACCTAAAAGACCCCTTTAGAGACTCGAGAGATGGTTAAAATGTTTTATAGAAATATTCCACCGACCTTTGGCATATTACTGCCGAAGACACAACATACCAAAAATGGAGGAATCCCACGGAATCTTAACTCGAATATTTTCAAAAATTTTGAAAATGGGCCTATCTTTCCCTCACAGATTTTGATTAAATGTTAATAAAGTTTTTCAAGCATTTTTCAGAATATAAGGTATTTTTTAGAAAGACATTCCCATCAGGCATATTGGAAACATTTTGTCACATGCTTTAGTATTGAAAAAACAAGTAAGCAAAGGCTACAGTCGAGCGGGGCCGACCGTTGAATACCCTACAACACTATAATAAACGATACAGTTTACATAGGCGAGATACTCGAAAGAATTCCACAAGGTATTGTGACAAATAATAAAAGAACACCATCAGGTTTCGTTCTCTAATTTTCGAATAATAGCAACTTAAACTAATTTGCTCATTTCCAATTTATTGGTAGATGTTGCACGTAAATGGTTTTCCTAGATCTGGAACCAATATTTCCCAAAGACCTATAATCCCTCAGACGTGGCAAAAGATTAACATTTATCATTGGTTTTTGACTGAAACGCAACGAAATCAGCGTTAACGAAACAGTCAGAAGTGCGTCTTTCCTGTATTAGTGAATTCTCCAAAAAGTCACCGGAATGGACATTTTCGTATTTTGTCTACAAAAGTTGGCAAACTATTTCACACATTGAATATTTTTGGGATGGCCATCCAAAACTGCTTGGCTTTTGCAATGTCCGGTAACCCCCATCCAAATGTGCGTGAGGATCGGGCAATAATTACGACCTGTTGACAAATTTTGCAGTTTTTTGGTCCATTTCAACCCCTAAATATATGGCGATCATCTCCAAAAAGGGTAGGCTTCTATTCTGACCCTCATCTTATCTCCATGCAAAATTTCGTAAGGATCGGGCCATAAATGCGATCTGTATATGATATCCAGATATCCTAACTACTTAGTTTTGTTAGCTGTAGAAATATTACCAAATGTTTAATTCAAAATGAAAATATGCCAAAAATATGACAAAATTGAAAAAATATGAGAAAATATTACAAAATCAATTTTTTCATCTTTAGAGAGATATTTTTATGCAATTTTTTTAGACGTTTTTTCTTTCCTGCCAAGAGGCCATTTTGAATTAATGAGAACTGTCGAAATCGGTTCAGCCGTTCTCGACATATAAGAGATCTTTCAAGCATATCTTCTTTGATAGACATATATATCGCACATATTTTGCTATATATCCGATTTGATCAATGTAAAGATCAGAAGTAACCTTGTCATGGCTTTGTGATTTCGCCGGGATTTAAAATATTCGCGGTTTATTGAAAATTTTTGAATTTTTTCAACACAAAAGATATGGTCTATTTTACCCGCTAAATATTATCCGATGACCACCCAAATTGGTAGGCTTCTTCCCTACCTAAACTCTAGCTACATGCGAAATTCCGCGTCGATTGGTCTATAATTGCGACCTGTATAGCTACTGCAAAATCTGACATTTTTTCAGTATTTGGTCCATTTCAACCCCTAAATATTTGGCGATCATCTCCAAAAGAAATAGGGTTCTATTCTGACCTCAACCCCACCTTCATACTAAATTTCGTGAAGATCGGGCCATAATTGCGACCTGTAGAGTGATTACAAATTAACATGGACAGACGGACGGACGGACATACATAGCTAGATCGACTCAGCTCGGCGAGCTAGGAAGATCCATATATACTTTCCTATGTGGGAAACCAATAGTTCGAGGTGTTACATAATTTTTGGCCCAATCAAACTTATAATACCCCCAACACATAGTGTTGTAGGGTATAAATATTTATTTTTTCATTCACTTAACACACACATACAATACGACACCCATCCGTAATTATTATTGCGGACAACTTCCTTGTTAATAAAACACTTTTAAATTTAGCACATTAATCAATTTCAACTTTTGAGCTCCCCTCCTCGATTATTAATACCCTTATCATATTTAACCTCCCATCTTTTTTCACAAGATGATAATAAATACTTACATGCCGGTCTGGACTTGTTGGGCTTCGCCAATGGTATCCATGGCCTCTGAGGTGGTGGTGTTACAGAAACTAGAAAGATAAACAAAGGGAAAAAATATTTTAAATTAATATTTAATCACACACACACAAATAAAACTCGATTACTAAGAATTTGTTTTATTTGCCTTTACAAAGTGTTTGGAAAAAAATAATAAAAACAACAAAGCGTATTCAAGATTTATATCAATTCTTAAAAAAAATCCAGTTTAAAAATACTATATATTTTTTACGACACATTTTGAACGAGTTCATTAATCATGGCGAGGAGTAGCGATTGAGATAATTTTGAGATGAAACATAAAAGTTAAGTATTCAAAACAATTTTGCTACTGATTCTTTTGAATTTTACATTTTTTTTGTTCAAACCATGGCAAAACTAGTTTTTATTTTTGAAAAATGTGTTGAGTATGGTCATTTTTTTAGGAGACTTAATTGGAAGTTGTTTTATTGTGAGTGTGGATGATTTGCTTGGATTGTGTTTTTTTTTTATTATAAAGCAAAAACAAAAATATATTGTTTTATGGGGGTATTTTCGAATGAATACCAAAAGAGGATATTTTCTAGGAATATCTACGAATTGTAAAAAATACACTGATTTTTTGCCATAAAATCTTCATATTGAGTACTTCGCATCCATCTGCCCGAATATCTCAAAATATTTGAATATATATTTTTTTTTTAATTTTGTTGTTACAGAATAGTCAGGCTTAATCTCATTATTGTCATTTTTATAACAACAACAAATAAAAACCAGTAAAGAAAGTTCAAAAGTCGGACGACTATATGATACCCTACACCATTATGCGTATTTAGTAGAGCTCCCATAAAAAAAAGCTTTATATTGGTAATTTATATGAAGTAGCTCATACCAGCTATGAAACTTATTTGAATTCGTATCATGGCTTTAGAGTAGTCACAATTTGGGAACTATATCCAACTCTGAATCGATGTTTAACAAATTTGACAGAGGCTTTTGTACCTCTAGTACAAAATAACAGTGCATAGTGCATGATATGATTTCGATAAAAATTCTATTAAAAAAATAATAAATAAAAGGACCAGACCGAGTTTCACCAAATGTTAAAATTCAGTTGAACATAAAAAAATCTATCCATATGGCTGACAATAACCATAAAATCGGATGAAGATGTATATCGAAGGTATATAAAATCAGAACCGATCTCGATAGTTTGGCCGAGGCATTTTCGAGCTGTACTGTATCTGATATCTGGTACCAAATATCATTCTTGTGGAGTGCATATTACTCATATTTCAAAATCGGATGAAACATATATACAAAAGCGATAGCTATATGAGAACCGACTTTTTACCGACATTTGAGGTACTTGCTTCTGGGCTAAATTCCTTCGGAAGTGCCAAAATTGGACTGATCTTACCCATTTGGTGCACAATAAAGCTGAAATCGGATATGGATATATATGGGAGCTATACCAAATCTGAACCGATCTTGACAAAATTTTTGGCACTAATTTTTGAGCTGTATCTGATATCTGATACTAAAGATCATTTGTTCTGTAGTGCACGTTACGCATATGAGGGACTTAAAACCCCAAATTGGATGAAACATACATATGGGAGCTATAGCAATTTTTGACCCGATTTTTACCAAATTTGAAGTACTTGTTTCTAGGATGAATTCAGTCAGAATTGCCAAGATTCAGTACATTTGGACTGATATTGGTCATTTGGTGAACAATTAACCCAAAATCAGTTGAAGATACAGGGTGAAATAAAAAAACTGGAACAAAGTCAAATGCCATAATTTTTACATTTTTTTTAAATTTTATTAAATACAAGCAAAAAATGTCGGAAATTACATCGAATTTTAGAATAAGTTTAGATTTGTTCGAATTGGTCACCTTTGGCACGAAATATGGCCTTCAAACGGCCAATGAAACCGTCACACGATGTCCGAATGTTGCTCTGCTTGAGGTGAACGACACATTGGTATTTTTTAGTGCCAACCTTGCTTTTCCAAAATACCCCAGACACAATAGTCCAACGGATTGGTTTCCGGAGATTTGTAACATTCTTGGGTGGCGCGTGAGGATTGCGATGGTGCTGAGTCCTTTTGGAACGTCTAAGGTCTGCGGCCGAAATGTTTGCGTGCCCAAGACTTTAATACACCCTCCAGAATATTTTCGCGATAATATTCGGCATTTATTCTGATGCCACGGTCGATTAATACGAGCGAAGAGCGACCATCGGCTGTTATGGCGACCCACACCATCACCATGGCCGGTGCTTGAGTTCTGGTGGCCAACCGAAGGTGCACATTTTCAGCTAACTTCTTTGGCAAGTAAACACGACCATTTTGTTTGTTTACAAACTGTTGAACGACGAATATTTTCTCATCGGAGAAAACCAAATTCGGCAGTTCACCCCTTTCGGTCAAGCGAAGCAACTCTTTAGCTCTTTTAAGTCAATTTTCTTTCTGTTGCGGTGTAAGCTCTGGCACTTTTTGGAATTTCAAAGGCTAATGGCTTTACCCCGAGTTCATTTTTCAATATTTGCCGAATGGAACATTACGATATGTTCAGCTCACGAGCCAGTTTTCGGCCACTGCGACTCGGGTTTCGATCAAGTCTCCTTTTTACTTTTCGAACCATATCTGCTGATGTTGCTGTTTTCCTCCGTCCACTTCCTTGACGACGGGCTACGCTACCAGTATCACGGTAACGAGCGATGGTACGAGACACAAAAGATTTATTCACATTTAAATGCTGGGAGTGCTCTAACGATATCCACTTGTGATTTTCCAGCCAAATATAAAGAAATCACAATATCACGCTTGAATTCCATCACGAATAACATTTTTTTTTTCTGGAAAATTCCCACCAGAATTCTTTTGTACGCTTATATATAATGCAATATAATGAGCTGTCATTGGAATAATTTTAATAGCTGTCGGACGAGTGGTTTTGAAATGAAAGCGAGAGAGATAGAATCTTAAGTTGGTTGCAGTTTTTTGCATCTCACCCTGTATATATGGGGGATCTACAGCTATATAACAAAAGTTTATGTAATTCAGGTCATTTGGTGCACAATTAACCCCGAAATCGGTTGAGGATATATATGAGATCCATATTCGATTCTCACAAATTTCAATAGGGTTCATCCTTGGGCCAAATAAATATTGTTTGAAAATTTCATCGATTGAACCTGACCTGAATTTTGTTCACAAAAATACATGGACAGACGGACAGACTGACATGCATAAATTTTGGTGCACAATTAACGCAAAAGCGGTTGAAGATATATGTGGGAGCTATATTCGAATCTCACCAATTTCAGTAAAATTCGTCCTTGGGCCAAACAAATATTGTTTGGAAATTTTCATCGAAATCGGATAAGAAATGCGACCTGCATTTTGTTCCCAAAAATACATGAACTGACGGGCGGACGGACTGACATGCATAAATCGGCACAGATAGTGATTCTATGAAGATCTTCAAAAGTAACCATGGGTCAATCTCGCTTCCTTTTCCATGTTACGAACAAGGACACAATACCCTTACCATAACCGGATATTTTTAATTTTTGCCATTTTTTCAGGCATTCAAATATTGTTTTTTCCTGCACCCAATGATTCTTGGTGTACAAAATACTTTGTACATACTTTTGAGTGAGATTGAGGCGCTGGGAAAATCCAACAATTAAAAATAAATATTTCCAAATTATCAGTTTCCCAGCGGTCATAAAATATCACATGTGTAGAATTAAGTGATCTTGTGCGCTGTCGCATACGATAATGTGTAAGATAATAAAGGTCATGACCCACACACACAGTATCGATGCGTACAGTGGATAGCCAAGACCACTTGAATGAAGGGACAAGCACCCATGCAATGTTTCTTTTAAATCTAATAATAGATAAGAACAATTGTGTGGCTGCGACTAGGTTAAGTTAGATTAGTTTCAGTAGTACGTAAGGAACATATTTTAAAAATAAAATTAGAATTGAAATAACGCACAGACGAAACGGTCGTGTTTTCTCTTCTCCCGCTAACATATGGTCAATCGAGCCTTCACTTTTTTATAAAGTGGAAATAACTAGCGGCCGTAAAAAAATTGTAGGAGTTTTCCCCCACCAGTGGTAAGAGACTCACTACAAGCAGAAATAGATATTCTCCAGAAATAGAGGAGAATTTCTACAAAAAACAAAGTCCGTTAAGGCATTTTAAATATAAGACCATAGGGGCATTTTGAAATAGCCGAAGGGACTAATTTGAATAAAAAAAAGCCATAGGGGCAAAATAAAAAAAAAAAAAAAGCCATAGGGGCAAAATAAAAAAAAAGCCATAGGGGCAAAAACAAAAAAAAAAAAAAGCCATAGGGGCAAAAATAAAAATAAAACGAAAAGAGGACAACAGAAGTCCCAAACAAAAAAAAAAAAAAATATATATACATAGTTTTGAAAAGAGGACAAAGAGTCCCATCTAAAAAATTTTAAATTCATTCAAAAATGTTCAAAGACATAGAAGAAGCTGTCACCACTTTGGCAGACTATTTCGAGGTGTTAACGTCGACGTCAACCTTTGAAAAAGTGAAACACGTCGAGGCATGGAAAGTACTGGTAGAAAATACATATTACCAGTTACGACGGTACTTGAGGATATACCAAAAATATCTTCCAAGCCATATGAATGCATTACCATGTGAGGTGGATATGTGTTTACTGTCGGCAATGAAACTTCTAACAACTCGGAGTCGGAAATCCACAGATATGTACATCGATGATGAAATCGAAGAGTCGATGAAACCTCCATTAGGATGGATGCTCTCCGTAAAATGTGACTATTCAACTTGGGAAGAACAATTGGAAGAAAGCAGACAATTAAACTACGTAGAAAAAAAGGAAGATTACGACAGAGAATTGGAAGATGGTTTGCACGGACAAATGCGAGCCTATGAACACAATTTACAATCTCTGCAGGGGCAAGTAATCAAACTGCGTTCTCAAATAAAAATCGAAGTTGAAAAAAGTGAACGGATATTGAGAAATGCGAAGGCC